CGCAGCCTCCTCTCCTTGCAGCCACGAGCTGGGTTCTCAACGACAGAAGAGTCCAGTTTAACTGGGTGGATGGTGTGGTTCTACTAATACTTTGGAGCACTAACTTCTTTTAATAATGCTTTTCATAAAATGAGGCATCTTGAGACATTGTTTATAGGACTGAAGTAGACTTGATGCTCCTTGTTTTGCCACTGTTAAGATTGTGAGAAAGAAGAGCAGCTGGCAGTTACAGTCGTCAACAGATAATGCTGCCAGCAGGCACACAAGGAAGCCCCACAGTTGCTTCCTTGAAATCAAGACTTTGCATACCATAGTGAGAGTTTCTAAGGTACAAACCAAGTCTCGTTACACAAACACATGATGTAATCCATTCCTGTATTTTTGCTAACAAACAGAAGTGCTAAACACAGCTTCCAGAAAGATGGGTGGCAGAGGTGCCCTCTACAGTTGCTTGATCAGAGCACCCAGTGTGGTACAACACAGCCCAGTCCTGCTGCTGCGGTTACAAAACGTGCTTCAGCTCCATTAGTGGTTCCTGGAAGGAGCTCAGGATCACTCAGTAAGGCACCTGCACAGGACAAAGCATTTTGTTACAGCTCTCGCTGAGTGACAGCACCTCATCAGGTCTCACATGTAATTTCCAGTTCAATTTCATTAGCAAAGAGAAGCAAGTGTCTCTACTCCTAAGTTATAGATGGCAGAGTTGAAGCTCAAAATCATGCAGCATGCCATTGCCATGGAAAATCTTTAGTCTAGTACTGACTCCCATGCAGTTCAGATCATTTGCTGGGCTGACAGCATTGCCTATGTTCTACCAGTACCCTTCTAAACTACTGTTGATCAAAAAATATCTACCTGTTCAGAGTAATTGTTTTGGGATGTACTGTACTGGTACTTAAAAACCCTCACTCATTGAATACTTGCATTTAGTAGTGATTTTTATCTGATATTCTTTAACCAAGGGGGGGAAAAAAAACCCAAACCAAACATGGGAAGTGGACATATCTGCGTCTCTCACAGATAGCTGAATAATGCAGACATGCCAATTCCCAAAAAGCAGTTCAGAGACTGAGAGATGCAGACTGATACAGCTGACGTGAACAGTAACACAGGTAAATGAAACTCTCAAATCAACTCTAAAAAAATCACAGAATTTTTCACTAGCTAGCAGAACAGCTGAACTGACAAACAAAAGCAGCAAATCATGATGTATGTCTTGTGAAAATCGATAGCATTTTTATAAAAAACATTTTTTTGCTAAGTTAAGTCAAATAGTACTCAATGCTAAGACCTGATAAGAACAGTTCAGATGAAGGGCCCGAAGTCTTCACTGTGAAGCACTGAGATTCTAGCTGGCAAGACTGCAGAGAGAAGCTGCACTCAAGTGTGTCATAAAGGCCTCAAAATTCATAAGAAACAAACCAATCAACGCACCCCCATCACTCTGAGTTTGGTTAAATGATGGCAGCCAAATCTGTCAGAACTTTTGGAAGCCCAACTCAGATGTGAATGCCAAGGATTAGTAATACATGTTACCAAAAATTAAAAAGGTGTCAAATAAGAAAATAAATTATCTGAAAATGAAGGATTTTTGAGGAAAACTACTAGTAAAGTTTTTTAAACTATGTGGGTGTCCCCATATTTGAGTTAGAACGAGGAATTCCCTTTGGGGATTCAAAAGTGGAAGAGAAACACCCCTGAGAGTGTCCTGCACTGAAACCCTGTGTTGGCTGCTTATCCTCATTCAGCTGAGGTTTACTTGTTCTATGCCATATCTATGACACTAGAACTTTACTCCTCAACTGAATTTGCAAGGGGTAAGTAAACAGGATCTTTATAGAAAATAATTTCCTTGAAAAAGCTGAAACTACTTTATCATCCTACAAATAACCCTTCTGATTTATGAACAGGCAATTGCATTGATTATTGAATTTTCAATTCAAAATATGACAAAATACTTAAGGTTAAATATTTTATTTTATATTAAGTCTTACACCAGGATCACTAAGCATTTTGTGTATCACCCAAATAAGTTACAATCATTCTGAGCTTTCATGCAGTTTTAAAAAAGTTAAATTTCTGAAAAAATAATTTTCAAGAGAGCTGTAATAAACTCTGCATAACCAAGCCAGAATTCTTTCCCATCAGGTAAGTATTCCCATTTTCCCACCTGCATTGACAGTGCAGACCAATTACAAAAGCCACTCCAAATCGGCACTAATTAAATGGAGACTCGCTGGAATTACTGAGATTTTCTGAACACCCTGAATAGCAGGAGCAACGCTTCAAAGGATCTGCAAGACCACTGAGCTGAGTTGCAAGAAGTGACATTTTGCCTGAGGAGAATGCTGAACTATCTTAACTGGAAAGCTCCTTGCAAGGGGATAGACCACCACTGACGAGCATGCAGAACACAGACAGGAGGCAGCAAACCCAAACCTTGCGTTCGCGAGTGCGTTCCTTCTAAGGGGAAACGGCATTTATGCAGTCTTCTACTACTTCAAAAAGGTAGTGATAGATGTCAGTCCTCCTGGCAATGTCAAGGGCCGTTTCGTCCAGGTTGTTCTTGAGGTCTGGCTTCACGTAGCGATTCATCAGCAAGAGTTCCAGGGTTTCTCTGCTGTTTTTGTTCCCTGCAGCAATATGCAAGGGCGTCAGCAAGCCGTTGGTCTGGGCGTTGATGTCCGCGCCCTGCTGCAGCAGGAAGGCGGCCATGTCCGCGTTGTTCCACTTGCAGGCGCTGTGCAGAGGCGTCCAGCCGTCCACCGTCTGCGCGTGCACGTCCGCCCCTTGGGCAACCAGCTCGTAGGCAATGTCCAGGTGCCCGCTGTAGGCAGCTCGGTGGAGAGGTGTGTACTGATCTTCATCACGCGCGTTAACCGGAGCCAGCTTTGCGGAGAGGAGCCTCCTCACTGTGCTCAGCTGTCGAAAGAAAACAGGTAGTTTATGAAATCGTAGGATGCTTTGGGTTGGAAGGGACCTTTAAAGCTCATCTAGTCCAACCCCCCTGCAGTGAGCAGGTACGTCTTCAACTAGATCAGGTTGCTCAGCGCCCAGTCAAGCCTGACCTTGAATGTCTCATTTAAGGTAAGACTCTGCAAACAAGATATATGGCTTTTAGTGTTTGGAAGTTTTATGAGAAAGCCATTTCTGTCAGTCTGAAAAAGGCCTAAGCAGAACAAGAAATTTTACAGTTAAACAGGTTATTGTTACTGGGGTGAGGGTTCTTTGAGGGGGACGCCGTGGTTTGGGGTCAGACTGTGGGGAGCAGTATAACCTCCCAGGGCAAAACTGAAGGCACTACTAGTGTAGGACCAGGACCATTCTGCTGCCCAGTTCAGTATGACACAAACCAGCAAGACGGGCAGAAAGGCAGTGGCCTTGGAGAAGCGGCAAAACCCGGTAACTCTCAGACAGACAGTGAGAACAGGTAAAGCAGAACAGAGCGCGTGCGGTACGCGGGGGAGCAGCAGGGCACTCATCTCCAGAATAAACTCTGAAAAAACGTGTGCTAACATTGCTTTTACAAACTGCATGGTGAAAATGCTCTCTTTGAATTTTCAACCTTAAAAGCACTCAAGAAAAAAGGGTTACACTCTTTTAACAGAGAGTACCAGAATTTAAACTATTTAGGCAATTTATCAGAGCTCTGCTCACGCCCCACGCTGGGCGCAAATAAATCTGCCGTGGTTTGGGGTCAGGGCCACCCCCAGAACCCTAACAGATGCTGTTAAAAGAGAAAGAGAGTAAGTGAGAGAGACTTACTGATTAGGAAAGAAAAGAAAAACAGCTTTAATACTACCGCTAATAAGGATAATAAAGTGGAATATGTACAAATATATACAAGACCAGTATGGATCCCAACTCCTCCCTGATGGCAATATGTCACCGTCACCCCTGGCTGGGGAGCAGCCCCTGGGGAAAAGTCCCAGGCTGGGCTCAGCCACAGGTGGCCACTGGGTACAGCAGCTGGGTTCTGGAATTCGGTTCAGGAACACATGGGATCAAAGGCAGGATGGACAGAGTCCTCCTCAGATACCAGCCACTGCAGGAGCAGCCAAAGCCAGCAAGAAGGCGTAAGGGAGACAGGAGGATTGACAGAAGGGGTTGCCCCTCCTGATTCTTCAGCTTTACTGGATAAGGATGGAATACCCCACTGGTGAATATTGGGGTCACTTATCATGCCTGCTCCTCCCCATAGGTGCAGGGTGCTCTCTGCCCCACTCTGTGTGATATACAAGCTCTAGCAGTGGCCCTGGTCTGCACACCAATCCCTGGCAGTAACTCTAAACATGAAGTCTTATCACTGCTAAAAGCAGGCAGTTTGCTGAAAATATGCTGTTAGCTTCAGACAGAGCAGTTAATTAGAAGAGCTTTAGCTGACAAGTTAAAATCATTGAACAGAGCCAGTCCTGTGCTACCCCAAACCAGGACAGGGGGTTTTGTGGTTTCTTTTTTTTTTTTTTCTTTTTTTTTTTTATTTGGTGGGTTTTGTTTTGAAAGAGATATAACACCTTCAGAGCATTGTTACCTTACACCACCTCCCCACTCACTGTGAAGATGCAAGTACCTCCACAGGACTGTAGATGGGGCTTGTGTGTTTAAAAAGAGGCAACCAATGGAAATAAACGTATACAAGGAACGTTAACAGGCAACTTGGTCATCTTTCCCTCACTTCCAAGAATAAAAAGTGTTTTTCCTCCAAAAAATAGATAGGAAAAGAGTCGCCCATTACCTGCACGCAGAGCTTATGAGAAAATAAAGTTTCAGACATGCCCTCTGCCCCCAATTGAAAGGCTTACCTGCCGTGAAGGAAGAGCCTGGCATGCTCTCAGTTTACAGAGGTCGAAGAACAGCGCTCCTACTTGAGCTCTAAACTGCAGCCAAGGCTTTTGCTCTGCAAGCTAATGGGTCTGCAGAGATTTCAGTGTGTGTGGGCTACAAAGGCTGATGTGTCACATACAGTGGCTTGCAAAACCGGATCACAAGCCCTCAAGAGAGAAAAAGGAGAGTGCAGGGAAATGTGTGTTTGTGGATGAAGTTGCAGACACCTGCTCAGAGCAACAGGTCAGTGTTGACTGTTACACCGCTAGTGATACATATGAACAGAGTAAATGCCTCACCCGATTGTTTTCGGCTGCCCAGAGTAGCAGTTTCTCCGGATGTTTTTCCATTTTTTTTTCTTGCATTTCATACCATTCCTCACTTCTTTCCTGTTCATCATCGTCATCATCAGACTGCCCTGACCAACAGCTCTGAGTTCCCACAGGAATCAAATGCCGGTGTGTCTCCAGCAGTTCAAGTTGGTTAAAATTCTCCATAAAGGCTTCAAACTGGTCGCTGTCATCATCATCGTCGTCATCGATCTGCTTGTCTTTATTCATTTTCAGTTAGCACCTGTCAGTAGCAGACACAACGATGTTTGTAACAGCTTTTCCAGTTACCCGTGTGCTCGTTGTCCACCAAAACACCTGACAAACGGTGTCGACGCCAGCGTCGCCGCGGACGGCAAAACTCCCGAGCAAACCCCGCTGCGCCACCGCGGTGGGGCTCGCAGGAGCCGCCTTTCCGCGGGGCGCAC